ATGTTAGCGATCGATTCAATTGTTCTGTATTATGCAGTCCGCAAACATTTATCGTTACCACTTCAAAAGACATTCAAAGATCAAAGTAGAATATATCTTCACGTGAAAAACATGGACAATGGATTCTGCAGTCCTTTCGAAGCCTCTCGTGCCCTCGTAAGCGACGTTATCATTGTTATTTAAGTACAACAAGTAGTATATCAGCGATGCGTCGGCACAATAGTAAAACAGCAAGATTTATAACGTAACGTCACAAGCCTTATGCTCTTACAGCTTCTATAGCAGCGTCGCACAATTTTGAGCGCATGTGTAAGTACTACATTGTGACTCATAGCGGATGACGTTCACGACTTCTGGCTTATATTGGTCACTGTTGAGATGACGCCGCTTGGTAACGTTGAAGAACAATTGCAGACGCATGGCTATCTCGCATGCATAAGTTTCAGATTTGCTCATACCGTAGAACGATCTCAGATTAAAGTAGTGGTTAAGGTGTGGTGGCTCCATTTCCATGATAAAGGGTTCTTACCCTTTAAAGAACAAAATTTGACTACCGCGAGGTACTAGCCAGTACCTACGTCTCCTCGTCCTTGATCATGGTATACAGACCACATCTTATTTCAATACGGCAGCGTAATTTGATCTAGATATGGCAACATTCGAACAGAAAAAACATAGGATCATAATAACCATTTTCGCTTTCCGTCGAATAAGCAAAGACCTAGGCATTGTGTCTGATTCAAGAAACCGTCGAGAATTGAGACGCAGAATGAGACATCTCTAGTCATACTCATAGCCACAGAGGAGATTTATATACCAATAAATACAAAGATCGAGATTTATCGTACAAGCACAAACACCAATTTTGATCCGAATGAAGCAACTGTAACCATTTAAGATACTATTTTTTTTAACTAATTGGATGGTTAGGGCAGCAAAAGAGAAATATGTTGTCAATTGGTATTACTGACCTTTTTTATTTAATCTGAGAGGCTTAAACTTTTGGGAGCATAAAAGTGTGTATAGTCTAATATTTTTACTGAATTTTTGTGTACGTGTCGACAATCTTTTGCCCTCGACAGCCTGAGGAATGAATACAAGTACTTAACGTCCAGGGCGATGATCAAGATCTATAAGCAATGGGAAAATACGTCAATGCCGATCTTAAAACAGAATAGAAAGGTAGTATTATTATAGCTCCACGCAGGTGAGTTAGTATGTTCGCGACTTAGTAATTACAGCCTCAAGATGGCCAAAAATTTCCAATGTGCTCTCAGGATGAGAAAAGCAATAGCTGTAGGACTATAAGTGGTATTGACTAGACCATCGAAAGTTTTCATTTTGAAAATATTGCTTTGACCGACATTTTTATTCAGAATAACGTTGCATTTAGACTTGTTTTAAACTTGCAAATCAACGTTCATTTCCAGATATATTTATGCTGTAGCACTTGAGAACGCAGCATCAATACACTTTCTAGTTTTCGGCTGCTGCGCTTTGTATAGTACACCCATCTTCTATTGCGCAAAAATCTAAAATCTATTGCATTGATGTAGAGCTACCAAATGTGTACTAAAAACACATGCGAGAATCGCATCTTGATTGAATGGAAAGAGATCTATAATATTGGTGGTAAGTAACAGCACAGTTATGAGAAAACGTTCTGCGTTTAAGTTCATGCGCTGAAATAATGGACTGCTGCAAACTTTTATAAATAGGTAATCAAAAGTGTATCTGACGTTTTCTGGGTTTTGCTTGACTCGTCAGCGAGCTATTGCCGCGGTTAAATTGCTTCACGATGAAAACACAGTCTGAATTTGCGAACAATGTGCAAAGAGTTATTACTTGCAGGATCAGTCATGACCCCGAAGGCTTGGGGATGGAAAGGAGGCATAGCGGCATTGGTCTGGGCTTTCCGTTGTCAGGTCTAAAACTTGTTTCTTCGTGTGGCATGCCGACATAATAGAAAATGTGAGAATTTCGTGAGAACACTTCATATTTGGTAGGTTCTGGGTCATGGTGATAGTGATTTAGTGGTAATGAGCTCGGCTGATAGCCGACTGTTTATTCACGAGCAGCTTGGCTTTTTATGTTAATCGTGGCGGAGCAAGGATGCGAACGGTCAAGCGATTTGTGCACACGGTAAATGACGGCATGACTGACTAAGCGCTATTTTCTCTTCAGGCATACTGCGCATGTGTGTGTGAATGAAAATCAGGATCAGCATGTCGCCATCTGTCTTTTCAACTATACATTTGTTTCAAGGCTATTTGACTTGAGGTTTTTGTACGCGCTTGTCTTCTTTCAAGCGCATCATGCAATGGGTGCACGATCTGGTTCGCGAAACTGAGTTTATAAGTTTGTGTCAGGAAGGAGCAGCTAAATAGACTCCTCTCAAATCGAGATCTGCAACCCAGGGTAACTGTTGGAGGATGACAAATCGAACCGCATTAGAT